TCATCAAAACAATCATTGCTCATCGTTTTTTTACCGCCCCCTCAGAGAAAGCATTGTACCTTGAATGAAGTTGTTTTTTTTTAAAATCCTCCAAATTACTTAAATGGTGAGTTTCCAAGACGCAGACTGAGCCTAAGCCGAAAACTATAAGGGCTTGTCTGTGGTGAATCACCATTGATATTTCAGTATCATCCGTAATCAGGCTTAGTTCATGTGCAGGAAATCAGCTCAGGACGTAAGACAGTTTACTGCATTTTGACATCCACAGTACTTACTTGCATCAGCGGCTGTTTTTTTTGTTGATGAAACATGTCTGGAGGGAGGTTCCCAAAAACGCTCAAGCACTGAGAAGGTAGAGCAAACGTGAATGACTGAACACTTTGTCCGCGTAGCAATGACCCTTTTGAGTTGAGTAGGGGTCGCAATTTCAAATTACCTGGGGGCTCACTGAAAAAAAATTGAAGGGTAGAAAGTTTACTTTTTTGTGAATTTTAACTACATTAAGTTATTCATCTAATATTTAAAATTAAATTTTGGAAAATAAAAAAAAACACATTTATTTTCCAAGTATGAATTTTAACTACATAATATATTGTCGCTGTCCAAAGAAAAAGCAAGTATCTCCAAAATAGTAACTTTATAGGAAAGATCAAAACACTATTTTCAATGTAAGTCATTGTAAAGAGATTTTATTCCAAGTGATTTTAGAGCGTTTTTATTGGTCCATTCATCATGACATTTTCACACAGCGTAAAGGACAGCTGGTGTGTTGAAATAATGTAGAAACATAAAAATCGACAAAAATGGAGATACATGGTTTTCTTTGGACAGCGACAATATGCACTCATTTAAATGCATCTGTAGTGATTGTCTGTTAGCAAATCTGTCACCACTACTACTACCACTAAACGTTATTACTATTAATATTATTATTATTATTACTATTATTATTAGTGAATGTTTATTAGCAATTGTCACCACTACTACTACCACTAGACATATTATAATTTATTATTATTATTATTAGTAGTAGTAGTAGTAGTAGTAGTAGTAGTAGTAGTGGTGGTGGTAGTAGCTGCAGTATTAGTATGTATCCATAATGTTTAGTAAGCATTTTAGTTTTCAATTAAATCAAGTAAAATTACATTTAACAGTAGAACTATGGGGGACTCATTGTGATAGTATTGGCATTTCTTATGTTTACAAAGTAATGGGCAGTTAATCAGCGTTCTCTGTGGATTCATTTGCTAACTTATTAATTTAATTATTTAATTATTTCTGACATGCTGTATCTACGAACATGACAATTTGGCCTCCTGAGAGGAAAGTGTGCTGTATCGTTTCATAGGTTTTCATTCTGGCAGCTAAGAAGTTCTAAACTTAAAGGAGTACGCCATCATTTTTCCAGCCTAAGCTCTATCTGCGGTTTCTTCAGCATGTGGTCATTTATGATAGACAATAATTTCTTCGGAAAGAACAGGAAAAATTGTGACTTTAAGCACTCTTATCATAGATGCCAATGGGCAGGTGCTTAAGTGCCCTGCTGACAAAAACAGCTTAGACCGTCATGAATTCTGTGCCAGTTTAGCCAGTCACCCTGGATGACCAGCATACCAGCATCCTGACACAACTGGTTTTACTGATGATCAGCTATGCTGGGTGGTCAACAGGCCAACGGCTATTTTACCAAATACAAAGTGTCACCTGGTAATTGGCCATATGCTACAGATGGAGATTATGTTAAAATGCTGGAATATTCTTTTAAGTATTTGCTGCAGCTACAGATGCCAAGTGGTTAGTGACAAGGGAATCCTCTCTGCCAACAGTGATCCCAGAGGAAACCTCCACATTAAACTAGCGAGGGGGCGTTGGCAGGAGGAAACCCAACATACACCCACCACATACACAGGGCTCAGTTCTGTGGTACTTGTGTGGGGGAGCACAGATATGCTCCTGGATTACCTGTGTAGGCCCACCTGTGTGCCCTAGGGGAAATCCAGGCGTTTTACATGCTGCCTACTCAGGGGCTAGCCCGATGCTCGCCAGCACTGATGGTTGTAGGGGAATCCCCCCTCCTCCCTCCACGGATGCTGGCTATAGCTTACGTGTCTCCTGAAGCGCAGCTGGGCCAGGCAAGTTTATCAGGGAAGAACATGACAAGAGGAAAATGAGTCCCCTCCGGCCTCCCGGATTTGCCTAGTGTGTGAAGTGCAGTATCTGTTTATCAGGGAACTACATGCAAATTCTCAGTCCACCGGACTACTGAAGAATCTTGCCGGTCAGCATGAGAGTGCCGATGACAGCAATGCAAACAAAATTTGCATCATGCGCTGAGCTGGCAGTGATGCTCACAAGGAAGTGAGTTTCATCAGCTGCCGACAGTTCTGAATCTCAGCTGGGAGGAAAGCAAAACCAAAAGCTGAGTGACATTCACTCTGGGGACACTCAGCGGAGCACAAAAGACTCAGTGTGGCACATTTCTGTTTTCCCACCATTCCTGAACAACAGGCCACGAGCAGAAGAACTCCGTCGGATGGCTGAAGGTCACTTTCCCCGCAGCATTTGAATAGAGGTGTCGGGTTCGAGGTGGTGGGCCAGACAGGAGTGTTTGAAGGGGAACTGAGTCTGCTGACTGTACACGCTTAGGGGAAAAGAAGTTTGGTTTTAATACTGCACAGCACAGCACTGTGCGTGTGTACAGGGACTTCATTAGTAAGGAAGAGGTGGAAGTGTGATAAGGCTGATGCTCCTGGAAGAATTCACAACCATGTGAAAGAGCCAAAACATAAAATGGGGAAATTAAGCAAAATGCCCATTTTCTAAAAACCATCAGGCAGTTCCTCAAAAGCAAGGGTCTCTGACTGCTGAGACAGCCTCATAAAGCCTGTCACATGTTTATAGTCTGTCCTTAAAACATGATATATAAACACGGCATTTTTCTGCAGGTTTTCATGCAAAATTTCTATTTATTTGCTGACTTTAACATACTGGAAACTTTTTTCATATACACTGGACTTTTGTACAGGCCACATGTATGTAGGTGTCTGTGTGTGTGTGTGTGTGTATTTCGCTGTTGTCAATACAAAACCTTATATCTCCAAAATGGTAACTTTACATGAGAAAGAAAAAAACAACTTTACTTTTAATGCAAGTCAATGGAACCAGACGTTTTATGCAATGTAAAAGACATGTCAAAAACTGAAAAACGACAGCAGTGATATGTGTGTGTGTGTTTATATATATATATATATATATATAAATATAGCTTTCATGCTTTCATGACATCCTGTTCTAAATCCATAGGCATTAATATGAAGTTTGTCCCTCCTTTGCAGTTATAACAGCTTTCACTCTTCTAGGGAGCTTTCTACAAAATTATGGAGAGTGTCTGTCAGAATCTTTGCCCGTTCATCCAGAAGAGCATTTATGAGGTCAGACACTGATGTTGGAAAAGAGGGCCTGGTATGCAACTTCTGTTCTAAGGTGTTTGATGTGGTTGAGGTCAGGGCTCTGTGTGGGCCAGTGAAGTTCCTCCTTACCAAACTCACCCAGCCATGCCTTTATGGACCTTGCTTTGTACACTGGGGCAGTCATGCTGGAACAGAAAAGGACCTTCCCCAAACTGGTCCCACAATTTGAAGTGTACAATTGTCCAAAATGCCTTAGTATGCTGAATCATTAAGATTTCTCTTCACTGGAACTGAGGGGCCTAGGCCAACCCTTGAAAAACAACCCCGTAGCATTATCCCTCCTCCGCCAAACTTTACACTTGGCACAAAGCAGTCATAAAGGTAATGTTCTCCTAGCATTCGCCAAACTTATCCTGCAGACTCCCAGATAGAGAAACGTGATTCGTCACTCCACAGAATATGTTTCTACTGCTCAAGAGTCCAGTGGCGGTGTGTTTTACATCACTACCCCCCAAAGCTTGGCATTGTGCATTTTGATCTTAAGTCTGTGTGTAGCTGCTCAGCCATGGAAACACATTTTGAGATGCTCCCAAAGCGGTTCTTCTGCTGATGTTGCTTCCAGAGGCAATTTGGATCTCTTTAGTGAGTGATTCGAGAGAGGATAGTGGCTCCACTCTGTGAGTTTGTGTGGTCTGCCGCTTCATGGCTGAGCTGTTGCCACTCCTAGACGGTTTCACAATAATAGCACTTACAGTTGACAGAGGCCGAGCTAGCAGTACAGAAATTTCACAGACTGACTTGCAAACGGTGGCATCCTCAGCCAGTTTGCAATGTTTGAAGTCACTGAGCTCATCAGTACAAACACATACATACACACACTATATATATATATATGCAAGTTACATAAATTCAGTTTAGGCTTATAATGTTGTAAACAGCAAAAACTAGAGCGCTGCATACAAGAGGAAATTTTCAATCAATAATCTGACAGCATGAACGCTGCACCCTGAGCAGGCTTGACTGTAATAAAACCACAACTTAGCTGTTATACTAATTTAGATTGATAGTTAAATCTGCCTTTGAGGATTCAATCATGACACACCTTTAGATTATGAAAATTATTGTTCTTCATAACTGCCCATATGCTTGAGATAAAGCAGAAAAAGATTAGGCTGAAAAATGATAGATAAGTCCTTTAAATATAGAGGTTCTTGGTTGCCAAAAAACCTATTCAACTTTCTTTGTGGTGGGCTGAGGGCCAAAATGGCAAATCAATATACAAATAAATAAGGTATTTAGATTTCAAGTTTCAAAAATGTATAACATTGCACTATATTTTGGTATTAAAATACATTTAGTAATACTAAAATACAAAGTCAAGAATTTAAAAAGTTATAAATAGCACAGAAATGTTCTTTAATTGGGTGAGGGGGTAGGGTTAGGGTCACTTTCTGGCAGGCCAAATCCAATGTCCTCATGCGCCAACCCTGGCCAGCCCTGCTACAAAACATTAGTGTTATTAGCATCTGGAATTAGACTAATGATCAGTTTGTGTATGCTCTAAATTACTAGACACAGTAAACCATTCCGTTAACCAGCTTTACAAGTGGTTAGAAGTTTGTTTTTATTGCATATTAAATGGCCCCTGTTTTTCCAAAGGAAAAGTCTCATTGTTGATTTTTTTTACAGTAGGTACAAAAGTACTAACATAAGTAATGACAACACTTAAAAGGACCTATAATGGACAATATGTACAGTATATAAATCCCCACTCAAAAACCAATAATATACCTAAACTGATGTGGGGTTTAATCTATCATAGTCATAAAGTACATTTGCAGCAGTTCATTTTTTGTGTGTGAAAATACATAACCTAGCATGTATGGCACCAAAATCAAAACAGCACATATTTTATCATATCTAAAAACTGGAATACATGCAAGACAGCATGTTTTGGGAAAAAGAAATAAAGCCGAATATTACATGGTTTAGAGAAAAGCTGTGAAAATGCTTTTTCCCCCAACAGACATCAGATCATATTTTATTCATTCCTATAACAAAGGAGTAACATGTGGCAGTAATACAGCTGAAAAACCATGGAAATTACCAATATCCACAAAACAGGCTTACAAAAAAGTCTTATGCTTTGTGCACTTAACTCTAACCTTCTTAGTTCTATCATGATTTGAATGTAAGAACAAATCCACAAACTGTTCCAGTAACACATGCAGGCACCACAAATCCATGTTTTTCAATGGCTGAAAAATGCAATAACTTATAAATAATATTTTAAAAGCTGCACAGAACACAGGGTCCAAGACACTTGAGACTGGAATATCAGCATCAGTCTAAAGGTTTCCAGGAGTGACAGTCAGTTTAAATGGATACAGTGGAAACAGTGAATAAAAATTTGGTGACATTGATTCACATTTTGTGATCATTTGACTTGTTGATAATTTGATTATTGCTCCTCACTGCCATGAAAGGTGACTAAGTGAGCAGGTCTTTTGATTACGAGAGAATATTTATCAAAATCAAGCTAACTTCTTCTTCTACTGAAGGTCAAGCAATTCAGGACTATACCAGATCCAGGCATCTTTTCGGAACTCGGGAGTGTTGGAATCAGGAATATATAATGTATTGCTTGATATTATGGAAGGGTGCACTGCCTGCAGTGAGATCTGTTATAACTCATTCATTTAACCTGCATTTGGAATGAATTCATAGTCTGGAATTTATACCCACTGAAATTCTTGGAAAAAGAAAAAACTGTGTAAAAACTAGGTTCTAGGTTGAGAGCCAGCTTGGTGCAAGAAAAAGTATTAAGTTAGAGGACAAACCAATGAACTACATTCTCCTCCACTATTTCCTTTATCTCCTCAAGCCTTTTTTGAGAGTCACCTCAGTATTTATTGATCCCAAACAGACGTACTCCATGGAACTGAGGCAGCTTTGGAAGGAGGACACTGAGGAGGGAGCCAGTGTTGATTAGGAAATGGGTGGCATCATATTTGGTGTAAAAGCTGGCCAGAATGTACCTAGAAGAGAATAAACGTTGCATTTAAAGGAAGAAAGACCTTTTTTTTTACAGAAATTAGCCACAATTTAAATTAAACATCACCCCAAGGAAAGCCTTAACAATAATAGCAGCATGCTCCTCAGTCCAATGTGTTTTGAATGTGTTTTATGAAACACATTTAGTGCTGCATACACTATAACATTGAATTTTTTATTATTGCTGGGAAGCATATCATTTTTTAGCATCCAGCATACTTGACATTTGGACTTAAAACCAGAGTTTTTTTTTTAATTAACAGGTTTATTATAACCAGTGTAGCAAGGCAAAGCTGTGCCCTGTGTTTACTATGTGTACATTTGCATGAAAACGATTATAGTCTCTGGGAACTACCTGAACTTCTGCATGAAGGGCTCCTAAAAGGTTAAACAATCTCCATTCATAATAATAAACCAAGAGCCTTTTAACACAAAGCATGCACAATGATTTACATTACTGTATCTAAATGAGCAAATGCAGCTCTGATCGACTCTCCAAATCAAAAAACTGTTTTTTGATGGATAAAAACACAAAGTTTGTGTTATAGGATCCCAGCTAAGAAGCTGCAAACATCACATGTTCATGGGTCTCAAAGAGTGGTGTTCAAAGGGAGTTATGACAGACAAACCACTGCTGTTCAAAACAAACTCTACACTACGTAATTCAAAAGTGTTCAAAACTTTGTCTGGTCACTGTACATACACAAGAAATGTTCTGTTTGGATTATACTGAGGATAATAAATATGGATTTTAATTTTAATCTTGCAGATTTTATGTGCCTAATCACAAACATCAAGTAAAGTAAAATCAACTGAAATGGAAAAAAATGCATATATATATATATATATATACATACACACACTGTTACGCATAAATAAATATAAGACTCTACTTTCAACAAAATAAACAAATATCATTAATGATAACAGTTTTGTAAAGCATTAGTCTATTATACTAATACAAAGCATAATTTAAAGATTACTGGACATGAAGGTCTCAAAATTAATCTCAAAATTTGAGTCTGTAGAAATAAATATCTACTATGTATTTTTTACCTTTTACAAAAGGGAACTTCTAGAAGGACATACATTCAAAAACACTTAATAATTTGGGAACAATGGCCCTCATTCACCAATATGTTCAGTTTTTTCTTAAATGTGTTTTTCACAAAGGTTGTAAAAAAAAAAGTCTATGTCAGATACGTGACGTGTTCTTAAACCGCAGAACTGTTTTCAGTTTTGTGCTCGAGTGTGTGTAGATTCTGTTCTTACCTAAGAACAAATCCCAAATAAGAAAACGTTGGTGAATGTCAGAATCTTTGTGAAAACTGCGTAAGTGGTTCTTAAGAAGAAATTTCTTTTTAAGAACTGTTAATGAATGAGGCCCAATGTTTCATTTGGTCTTGGAGATGGTGTCCCTCTGTCTCTCCAGCTGCCATTTTTGTTTTTGTTCAAGAAACCTTCTAATAAATGACAAACTGAAAGAAAGACTGAGTTCTTTGAAAACGCATGAAGGAAGTATGGTGACGGTCCTGCTTCTAGAGCTAGAATACCTGTGGAAAAATGCCCAGTATATTTGATTTTTGGAATGAGGAAGTTATATCAGTTTATCAAATCCCATATCATGACGACAGCTCCTAATACTAGGGATGTGCATTCTCACTAATTTTGATATTCAAGTAACAACAGTAAATGAACGGATAATCTGTTAACTGTAGGGAATGAAAAAACAACGCAAAAACAAAGACTTTGGCTGAAACAACTGACGTTAATGCTGTAAGCTTACCTTTTTAGGTGACAGCACTAGTGGCAAAATTGTGCCTCATGCAGAAATATACATTTGAAAACATATTTTAATGTTTCAAAACAGCCAAGGTTTTCATGTGCGGTGAGTAATAGAGGGTGCCTCAGGTGAGTTAATGAGCTAAAACTATAGCTAACTGGTACAGAGCTGGATGCTGATAAGGACACCTCGGGTTCTTCTTGTGTTCTCAACAGACAATGTGCCAACATGCTATTTGTCAGAGATATAAGTTTTATGCCCTTAACAACACATCCTTGGCTACGCACTCACATTCAAGCACTCGTAACAAGGTATTATATAATTTGGTCTAGATATTTTTTCAGTCTTACTGTAATGAAACACAACGAATAACCAGATAGTGATTTCAATACTAGAATACTGGAGTAGTTAAACAAAGATTCAAGTACCCAAGTCAGGAGGACCCACCAATCTGTTTATAGGCCTTGGTTTGTCACCAAGCTTCTGTCATGACAGATGCCAATGCTTTTTAGCTTCATTATTTTGATGAGTAAAAGCAACAACAAAAATAACAGCAACAAAGAAAACAACCTATGCCAATGTTTAACTCACAGCACTATGGGTGAAATGGTGAGGAATTTTCTTGACGATGTGAACTGGACGCCATAGTCCATTTGTTCCCAGTGAGTGAGCAAACGGGCTTTACCCTGGTCAGGCGTCTCAAAAGGAGTACCCTTCACTGTGTGAAGGAACACATACATTGCCTAGAGAAGAAAAACAGTCACAAGAGAGTTTCAATCAAAGTCATTTGATATAATGTTTTAAGAGTTGATTTATTAATCAGCACTACCGTTCATTACTATCTAATATGTACTTAGGGATATATGATACTGTGCAAAAGTTAAAGAGAGATTAGATCTAAAATAGTCCACTTAAATAAGGAAAGGGAACGTTAAACAAAAATAAGTGAAAAACAGAAGTTTCCAAAAGTGGAGTTCAAACATTAAAATTAAAAGCTACAGAGATAATGGGACTCTAACAACCATGCAGGACCTGCTAAACCACCAAAACTGTCCCCATCAGATAAACAGCACTTAAAGCTTTCATCTTTGAGAGAGAGACAAAAATCAAGCTCCAGTCTTGCTGCAGATCTGAAAAAATCCATAGGTGTTTCTGTCCATCCTTTCACTGTGAGAAGACAACTCAGCACTATGAGTCTAAAAGGATGTGTAGCTGTCAAGAATACCTCACTGAAAAAGACAATTACCACTAAAACACTGAAACTGGACATGTGGAGGCTAAATTTCTAATTGGTAAAACTGGGATTGTGAGAAGTAGAAAATCCAAGAAACATCTAAGACTAAACTTTGGAGGCAGGGAAACATATGCCTGCAGATTTCTATGAAAAACTATAAGCAAGTCTCCTGAGAAGAATGAAAGCTGTAATAAAGGCAAAGGGTGAACAAATTAAATAATGTTATTGATAATGTGTTTTAATCAAAGATGCTGCAGTTTCACCAGAGATTTTTTTTTAGATATGCAGAGTAGTTCTGGTTTCACAAGCTCCCTTTACGCTGTTACATTGTATGCAGCTGTTTTTGTATGTTATTGGACAGAGCACCAATATGGTTGATGCACTTTCCTTTCATACTCTGTGTGCTGTCTACCAGACGTCTAGCATCTGACCCAAAAAAACCTAGGGAAAACCGAGAACAGGCTGCCCATCAAAGAAAAACAAAACAGGATTCCAGAAATGAATGAAGACTGGTGTGCTGTTATACAAAGTGTCAGGGAAGTTTTTTTAAAAACAGAAATCCCCAAAATGTATAACCAACACATTTTGCTATTAAAATGACTTTCAGAACAGTATGTGTATTATCTTATGCACGCACTGTTTTTTTCTTAATACAATGTTGTGATAAGATTGTAAACTGTGATTAAACATAGGGTAATATTATCACGATATTGTAATATTTATACTGGCACATGCCTAGTGTCCATGCACAAGAAGATCACATGTGTATAATAATATATAATATAGTAACTGTAAACCTACAAAGTGGACCTATATAGTAAGTGTTTCTAATAAATTGGCCTGGTACCTGGTTTACATGGTACACATACCTAAGAAAATGGCAGCTCAATGTAATGTCCCCATCAACAAAAAACTTTTGAAGTAAAAGTTCGTTGACTGACCAGATTGTGAATCACGTTTGTTAGGGTCCATACTAGTGACACACTGAAGAAAGGGATGCTAAGCAAGACGATGTGCAACACGATGGTCAGCAACAGGTACGTCAGCCAGATTCCTCGGCTGTTCATCACCCGGGTGTTGGGATTCACTTCGCTGTGAGCTACGCCCACATTCATCCTGAAAGAGCTGAAACAGAAAGGGGGGGGTGTAAAACGCATGCACACAGGCTGCAAGTAACTTATCGGATCTTACATATTTATCTCAAAAACCATGAACCAACACGTCAGAGATCACAGTTGTCGGCGTTTTACATTTCTTGTTTTGTGTCACCAGAAAAGTTTTACATAGAAGAGCCCCTGTTCCTTTAGTCATGGTCCTAACAGTGAGAAGTGTTTGGGTTCCTTTTACTGATGGAATCCAACTCCAGTTTCCAGTGACGCATTACTGACGTATTACTTTATTATTTTCCTTTTATTTTTCATGTAAAAATGTATTATTTTAAAAATTTAGTAACAAAACAGAGTGCATTATTATGAAAAACATTTGAAACCTAACTTCTTTTTTATGTTTTGTCTTTCTGGCTTTCGGCCAACCACAAACACCCCCCACCCCTCCAAGACAAAAAGTCTGGGCAGTCCTGAGTTGGAGTAACTAATAAGAGGTCAAGTTTCCCAGACCCAGAATAAGCCTAAAACTAAATTAGTTTTCAATGGTGGTTCACCATTGGTACTGCAAATTGCACATTTATATTAAGACTAGGATTATTCCACGTCCAGGAAACCAGGTTATAGTAACTTATAGTTACAATAGAGTACTTTGTTATTGTATTTAGAGTATTCAGAGCAGAGGTAGTTGGAGTAGCCTAAACCCAGCCTCAGGCAAAATGATTACATCTGTGCCACAGTCAAGCAAAAGTAGAAATTCAAGTTAGAGTAAAAACCTTTCCAAAAATTAAAACAATGTAAGTGCTCAAGGAACTTCTTAGTATATCCAGTACATGTCATCATAGGAAGGGAAGTTTGTTAGGCTCTATTAATCTTTTTTGAACCTTTTGGTCCAAAATAATATAATAAAGCTCCAACGTCAACTGTGTGTCCACCTTTAAAGTTGCATGCTGTCACCATCTTTATAGAAAGAAATTAAACCCAAGTAATTATGGACAAAATGCAAATGACTGAAATTCTACTTAGGTGGATTTGAATTGAAGTGGATTACTCACAAATACACTTAAGTAAAAGCATCATGACACTCAGGGAAGCACAAATGAATCAAATTCACTTGAATAACTTAGCGTTAGATGGAGCTGAGTAATGTAATCCTACCACTACCCACCTCTGATTTAGAGTAAATTAGTACGTTAGCTACAGTTAGTTAGAAGCTATATGGGAAGTAGTTTAAGTATTTAGAACAAATAAAAGTTATTACATGTTTTATTGTTAAATATTTAGATTAGTTCCCGGTCCTTCTATCAGGAGCTGTTACGCGACGTAACCTAACTCTTAGTTAACCTAGCATAGCGGCGTCTGCTAATGCTAGCTGGGAACTTCTGAACAAACTGGTTCAACCTATCAGTAACAGCTGCTACACCGGCTTTCGTGATCACATCGTGCTGTAAACATGCGTAGTAAAGGTTATTTTATTTCAAAACGAGAGAGTAAAAGCGAGTAAAACTGTATGAATTACTTACTAAGGAATGTTGTCATATAACTCAACTTCACTGTAACCAGGAAATCGCAAATTTCCCCATATAGTCCCGCCCCTCGGCGTTTCTGATTGGTCGATTTTCCCCGTCTGGCTCCCACTCCGCATATTTATGATTGGTTAGTTTCTTTCATTTGACCCGCCTGCTTGTGTTTTTGATTGGGGGCCTTTTATTTCTCACTGTCAAAAAGTAGGCTTAATGTTTTTGGTTTATTCATTGTTAAACGTTTATTTCATTATTTTCTTTTTACAGTATGTTTGATCATACACTTCTATCCTTAATGCACGTTCGAATAAATTCCTATAAAAATGCTCCATCACTTTCAAGATAAGAGGCCTGTTAGTAGCATTTACATTTCCTCACCACAAAGAGGAAAAAGGAAGAAAGGTTGAGTCACACAGTGATTGTGTGAATTCAATGAGTGAAATTTTTATAAAGTGTCCGGGACTGTCTCCTCTCCTTCAGATCAGGTTCCTTAGCTCTGTTGGTTCTTAATAAAGTATTATAAATGCCTAGAGCTTTAGGGCAAACAATATAGTATATTTTCAAAGCAAATTGCCTTCTATTGGTGAGTTAACATGCCTTATGAGGAGGTATTTGTTTAGTGTAGTTCTGTGGTATTTGACTAATTTGTTTGCTTGTTTATTTGTTGATTTATTTAAATGTATCAGGAAGCCATTCAGACTAATGGGAATGTTTAAGGAAAGCACACCTTCCCTCTCTTTTTACAAACAGGCCTTGACTTCAGATTGGGAAATTCGCTCATATTGACACTGTCATTTCCTCATTGCTATAACACTGTGTGAAATGGGTTCCTTCGAAATTACTGGTTTCTCTTTAGAATCAAGGAAATACAGCAACAATACATCAACGACTCATGCCAGAGAGTTGGAATACTTGTTCATATATTTATTGATCATGAATAAAAATATATTTAGAAAAGTTAAATAAAAAACATAATATACTGTAACTCAGTTTACTCAACATGTCACATACATGGACTAATAAATAACAATAAATATGTTACTTTAAAATAAATAAATAAAAATAATAAATACATCATATATCATGTAAAACATGAACACATGAACATCATCTACATGATTAGCTATTAATATAGCTGCGATACGTAATCATAATGTATGAGAACATTTTTTTTCTTTAAAACATAACAGTCGAATACATTTTGACCAACATGGTCAGAATAAGTATTCAGTTACTCCTTTTCATTCTCCAGTGTGCTGGTGAGACAAAAAGTTGAAGATACGAGCTGTTAGGATGGAGAAGGAATACAGTCGGTCCACACTGTCACGGCACAGGAAACCTTCGCTCATCCACTTCTCCAATTTCAATGGCTCTTGAGCTTCTACTTGTTCCTGTGGGGTCAGAGTTTTATGTTAGTGGGACAATGGGCATAGAAATATAATGCAGAAGCAACAATAACTGCAAAAATGCCAGTTTAATTAACCCCTTAAACACTAAAGGTCTGTACCCGGGGGAACATTTCAAATCCTCATTCTCATAGCTACATAACTTACATATTACTTTCATATTATTGAAAATTTATAGTATTTGCTGAATAATAAATATTAAGATAAAGCCCTAAAGTGGCTTAAATCTGCTGGCAGGTCCAGACTTCCACTCCTCATTTCTATATTTTAACTCAGCCAGATTGTTTTGTTGAAATAGGCCTAGGAATTTAATGAGTTTAACACTGAATAATAACTGTAAAGGTCTAGCTGAGGTTAACATGTCCCATCTATCTACATTTAAACATTACTGAGATATTTGTAAAACTATAGGATTACCTTCAGTGCACGCAGGAGTTGTGTAGTTACATTAAACACATCAGTAGCACTGGCTCTCCATTTACTGCACTTGGTATACTCTTCCCGAAAGAGTCCATTGTCCCCAAAGATCCTGCTGTAGTTTTTCAAAGCAAGAATGACTCTTGACAGGCAAGGCTGGAAGAAACAAAGCACATGGAAGGAATGAATGAAATTGATCTGTTCGATGGGAAACCTTTTAATGGACACAGTCCACAGTTTCATAGATACAAACAAAGGTGACAAAAAGGTTTGTATTCTCATCACTGTTGAGTTTGGTAAAATAGATTCCACAGTGTTGATCATAATCTGGTTTTCTTTGGCGTCATTAACAGCTGGAGTTTTAATGAACTTAATGTTTTAAAGGTAACCAAGAAACATATTTTTGTTGTTAAAACATATAATTTTTACAGTGTGAACCATGTTTAACTTCCATGTAATTGTTGATTTTCTGATTAAGTTGTGGACAGTGGTGTTAACTATTTTTACATATTGACATATTATCATTTTTAACATATTTGAAATATTTTAGCTGTTCTTTGCATTGCCATACCAGCATCACTCAACACTATTGAACTGCCTCATACTGCATTACAGCTGGATGCACTGTAATTACCTCTGCATTGCTCTGAAGGCTGTCAGGATCACATTTGTCCTCAGGACGGATCATCAGTGGAGGGTCACTGACTACAGCCAGCTCGTTTGGGATCTCAACCTGAAAACAGTTAAAATAAAACATGTATTTGCATGTATGTCTATCCATATATATATATATATATATATATATATCTATATATATATATATATATATATATATATACTAATGTCATTAGAAATATGAAAATGGGGATGCATTTTAAAACTCAAATAACAGAAAAGAAGAATTAAGGCATAACTTTTTCTATAGCAGGTATGTTATAGGTATAACATGGACAGACAGACACATAGATAGATAGATAGATAGATAGATAGATAGATAGATAGATAGATAGATAGATAGATAATCCAGTATAATCTCACCTCTCTGTATAAGTGTCTGGCTTTTTCATTGAGCTGCGTGGCCAGGGTTCTCCCTGCACTGTAGTCCAGGTGTCTCTTGGTGCGCGCTCCCGTTGGAGCCCCGTGCGCGCACTCGAACACAAGCGCTAAGAGCGCTGCGACAATCGCGAGACACCGAAACGATCCCATGTTGTTGTTTTTGTAGTTGTTTTGAACGAGGGTCCTGCAGGAGTAAAGCTGAGCTCTGTTTCTGCTCGCCGTGTGTTTGTGTGCAAGCTTCTGCACAAGCTGATCTCCTCGGGCAGCTCTGCCTCATTATATACGGTATGGCCGAACGGTGAGTCACGCGGAGTTTCCCGCTGGTGCTGCAGGTTCATCTTTAATCGTTTGGCTCTCGTGTTCATAAAAACAAAATCACAGTATATACAATACGTGAAGACAAACAGTGGACGAGGTGGACATCTGCTCTCATGGTTATGAACTCTAATTTATAATCAGAATATGGCCTATGTTCTGACACATCACAGATCCATCCATAAATAGATCCAGCGATAGATGCATGTACAAACACTGTAAAACATAATAATTCCACAAATATTGTTATTTTTTGTTTACTTTACTTACATGTTAAAATCAGTAATACAAACAGTAACACTGACTATTTCTTACACAGTTCTTAGTTACTGATGTAAATCTATTTAAGATCAGTCCGTTTGGACATGAACTGAAGAGCCTTTTGCTCAAAAAGCTTCCCAGCATTCTTAGCTGTTTCGCTGGTTTCTGTAAAAGAACTGTTAATTGACTCTTACTTTTTATTTAGAAATAAAAAAAATATTATTTCTCTTTGCAAAATGTTATTTTGAGTCTTAGCGCACATAAATATAATTTATAAATAGCAAAATATGAACATATCAGCATTATTTTCTGCTTACCTCTATGACTATAGCTATAGTACACTGTGAATATGTGATTTGTATAATTTTACATATTTCATTTAAAAGTCTTGGCTGCCTTAAAATATTTCATTCACTGAAACACTGATATATATATATATATATATATATATATATATATATATATATATATATATATATATATATATCCACATCCATTGCCCCCTTTCACTAATAACATGACTCCACACATCAGGGATGTTTCCAGGGAATTTCACATGGTGAATTGGGAAGGTAGCAGAAAGCCAGCTGGAACAGCTGTTATTAAGAAACTCCGGGTTCTGTACTGAGTAATAGGCAATTTAAAAAGACATTTAACGTCAAATTTAACCACATTTTACAGCATTAAACTTTAGCTTCTTTTTCCGGAAGTCATAAACGTAATAGCCCACTCGTTATTCACTGTTCACTACAAAGGCTGACATACATGTTTATAATAAAACAAGCTAAAAACTTCTAGTTGTAACGGTCACTCTGAGTTTAAAACATACAGAGGTCTCGTGAGAAGCAAGTCTCACGCTGATTGGATGAGACCGACGGTTGGCATCCCGTTTCTATAGCAACCAGCCTACCAACCGTCCCCACTCGTCATGAGTGTTTGTAATTTTTTATTATATTATTTTTTTTACAGCTTTACCAGACCACGTTACACAGAGCTTAGTTCAAAAGTAGGTTTCCGTTCATTAATCGCACTTTTTTTCGTGAGGAAAACCTCTTTAAAATGAGAGAAATCTTTTAAAATGAGCCGCACTTCGACTCAAGTATAACAGGTTAGGTTAGCTTGTTTGTGAGGAAAGAAATCCTCATTTTTCACATTTTAGTCCTTCGCATTGCGCTTTTAACTCTTTAACTATTTAATTGCATTCTGTTCGGTTAGTTCAACTCCTCTCACTTTCGAGATTTAGCGTTTTATTTTACACCGAATAGATTCAAAATCGTGGCTCCGACCCGTCCGTAAATATCTTACGCATCATTAGTCAGTGAATGGTGATTTAATGGTGGTTTAATGGTGGGCGATAACCTTCGTGTCGCAGAGACTTCAAGTGAAGCTTTTATGAACGCTGTATGATACAAAGAGATTGGATCTTTTCTGGAGGATTTCTGACGTCTTCCCCTTTCTTTACGAACTATAGCCCAAACAGGCCATGCCAGTAATATGATGATGATTTTCACTTTTCTCTGCAATCTCCAGATAACCTGGAATGAAACATTGATTAATTTACAGTCGGTATGAATAAGAGAGCAGATCATGCTGATTATAAAGCGTTGTAATTTAATAACATCAG